AGTTTGAAAGTCACTCTTCGAGCAGCCTTGGGGTGAGGGCTATCAGGCCTTCGTTGTTTGTGTCTGCTGTCGAAACGTGGGCCCATCTGGACAGTTTCTTGATGGTTCCAGCAAGGGGCGAAGGGAATCGTTTCGAAGGCTCTGGCCATGCTCTGGTCATACACAGCAGAACACCTTGGGCAAATCAAGCACTTGGTTGCCCCTTTGTAGCAGCGAAATACAAATTCCAGCAAACTTTCTCCAGCCTTAGGATAACACCTAAACAGCTGGTTATCCTGGCGCCAATTGTTTCCAGTTCGAGTCCTCTGTACCCTCTCAAAATTCGCGAGGATTCTCTGATTGCAGAGGATGCTGCACCTAGGGCACAGTATCATGCATGTATCTCCCTTGTGGCATGTCATGAGGTAATCCTTGAGACTAGCATCTCCAGCGTGATTATCTTCCATTTTATACTTCTCTTTTTCTAAGTGTTTTTCTACCTCCTCCATCTCAGAGCGAGGCCTCTCCATATCCACCATATTTATCTCAACATCTTCCCCCTTAGCTTCATCATCTCCCCATCCTGTGGGCTTTATATCCTCAATGTGAACCTTCGAACTCTCTGGGGCAGAATATTTGACCAAATAGTCAAATTTTCCACTGGGTTCCCCTAGAGTGTCCCATATTTCCTTCTGAGGGGAAGTTGGCTTCGTGATTTGGACTTTCTCCAATTCCAGCCTCAGGCCTTCAGTGACCTGTGTTAGTTCTTGGTTTTGATTTTCCTGGCCTTCAGTAGCCTGGGTTTCTTTTGCAACAGCTACAGGTGCTGCTTCAATCGAAGTCTCTGGTATCTTCTGGATGTCTTCAGTGACCTCTTTATCGACTTCGACCATCACCCAACTTTCAGTTTCAGTTCCTTTCTCTCCTGTTGGGGCATCGCTTTGGTCAGCTTCCACCATCTTAATCTCTCCAATGCACGCAGGCTCGGAGTAGTTGGTGTCTGCGACGTCCAAGGGATCTTCGTCCACTTTCATCTTTGCCTTATCAGCAAACTTTAGTCTGCCATCTTTGATTGCATTTTGAATTAGGTCCCTGAAAAGAAAACACTGTGAGGTTTTGTGGCCTAGGAAACTATGATATTTGCAAAATCCTCTCTTCTTTCTATGATCTAAAGGAGGTATTTTGACATTTGATGGCACAATGAGTTGGCCATCTTTGACAAGTAAATAAAAAATCTCGTCACATTTAGTGATATCGAAGGTATAAACCTTCTTTGGGAATTTGTCACTCTTCTCATTTTCAACAATCTCTTTCCCTTTGTGGGAACTAATAATTTGCAGGAGTAAGGTGGAGCCTGTTTTAATTCAGCGAGGTCGATTTCGACCTCTTCGAATTCGAATTCAGGATAATCTTCTGCTTCCTCAGTTCCAACATAAGAGATCCTTTCTTTCTTGTTATTCTTAAAGACTCTGGCCTTTTCGGCCTTTAGCCTTTTGACCTGTCGAACCCTATCGGCTAACTGAGCCATGTCCCTCAAATATTGAGTGTCTAGTTTCTTTCGAATAGAGTAATCCAAACCACCAGCGGCCATTTCGACTAACTCATGTTCAGGCACTACTGTGTAACATCTGGATTTCAAAAGCCTAAATATATTCAGATAATCATCTATGGGTTCGGTGAACTTTCTCTTGACACTGGCTAATTCCTTCAAGCTTATTTTCGACTGTCCCATGTAAAATTGTTCATGGAATAATCTCTCCAAAAGAGCCCAAGTGTCAATGGACCCAGGAGGCAAAGTGGTAAACCATGTGAAGGCGTTTTTAGTCAAGGAACTTGGGAAATATTTGATCCTGAGATCTTCATTATTGGCTATATCTCCCGCTTCGGTTAGATATCTGGCTATGTGTTCGACTGTTGACTCATTGGTATCCCCAGCGAACTTTGTAAATTTAGGGACTTTATATCCCCTTGGTAAATCAGTATGCATTATGCAATCTAATATAGGAGAAGCATAATTTGGCCTTCTCATTCCTGTGTTGAGGCCATTCTGGGCCATGACTCTCTCTATCATGGTGGTTAGATTGTTTTCTGCCAAGATGTTATCGTTTCGAATTCTATGAACGACAGCATCAGCATCTTGATTTCGACCAACCATGACAACTCCCCTAGGTTGTTCTTCTCGAAACTCTGGGACTTCCAGCCTTTCGACCCTTTCCCCTGGTTCCATAATTTCTCTTTGTGGGTCTGGGATTATTGGGGCTTCTAACCTTGGTGCCCTTGCCCCCAAGTTAACTTCTTCTCTAAGTGGTCTATAAATTGGGTCGTTAGCGACTTGTTCCATAACAGGCATGTTTGCTCGAAATCCCGCCTGATTCTGCCTACGCCTTTCTGGGGGAGCAAAGAAATCTGCTATTCGACTCATGTTGTCAGCGTTTTCCTTGTTTGTCACAGTCACATTTTGTACTATTGGGGCAAATATTTCCTGCATAGTTTGTGCTAACACCCCTATCATATTATGGTTACTGTCATCCATCAATTGCCTAAAAGCCAACTAGTTTTCTGTGGTCAAAATAGGCATTGTGCTATAACCCACTGACCCTTGGTTATTTGTCATAAACTGATTCGCCCCAGACCCAGACCCTAATTATGGTGATGAATTCAATGTGGAATTGTGTAAACCTGCCATAAAGGAAGTTGGCATTCCATAAGAGGAATTTCTGGTTCTATTACCATCGAAACCGGGTGGTCTAGTTAGTGGAGTGGCGAAATGGGATTGTGTCCCTGATGGTGGAACAAATCCCCCAGGATAACCAACGGTTCCAGTATTTCCTAAGATCGAACTATTAGTTGATATGCCACTTACTCCATTGGTGGCTATATTACTGGTTGAAGATGCAACAGACTGTGCATTCGAAGGGATCACATTAGATGTTCCCATCGAAGTGGACACATTAGTGCCTGTTGTATGTGGGGCATTTTGTTCCCCTTGTTGATTGTCAGAATTAGACATCTTGTTCAAACGTTTTCTTCTGGATAAGGGTTGGTTGTTGTTGGTTATTTTACCACTTCTTAGGTTCATAAAACAACAAACTTCTTAGGTTCTAACGTTTTTATAATGGTTATGTCTCAACAATCTTTATTTCTAATGTCCAATTATTTGTCCCACCGGGTGTGCCAATTTGTTTCTAGTGATTTCTGGTAAACAACCGCTAGTCTTCCAAACTATCGAATAAACTTACTAACTGTTATTCAATTTCTCTGGTAACTCGCAGGATCGACTAGATTGATCCTAGGACTCATTGGTCATTAGGGTAACTCTCATGATCGAACAGATATTCATGGTTGGTATTTGATTGTTGTGTAGGTGTTTGACTTATTTCGATTTCTCTCTTAAAGATCTAAAGGTGTAATCAAAATATATGTGCGCGAAACTAAATTGCATGAATAAATGTTAATTGTAAAGACATGTAAAATTGCATAAAAGGCAAGTAAATGGCTTCGAATTATAAAAACAGTTAATGTAAAAGATGCTCTGGAATGTAAAAGATTTGAAATATGAAGAGAGCATTAAAATGTAAGGCTTCAATGAAAAGATTTCGAATAAAAAGACTTTAAATGAGAAAACTTGTAAATGGTATTTGGCAGAAAGATAAAGGAAAGTACTGAAAATGATAAAAGGTTTTCATTAAATCATAAACATGTGGTGCTATCATACGTACATTGCTCTTGCATTCGTTTCCCTAGCCATGTGGTAATTTGAATGTTTACTGAGTATTTAGTACAATAGATATGACACCCGAAATCCTAATACTAAGACTTCTATTTATACTAATTCGACCATAACGGTCTTGCTATAAGATTATGCCACGTTCAGAACATGCAGAACAATGCCTCTCTCTTGTTTCCACGTGTCTCCAAATGCTCCAACACATAAATTTCAAATTTCGAATGTCCCGCTTGCATTTGAATTTCAAATGTTTTGGTACTTCTCCGCTTCGAACGCACTTCTCAGACACAACCTTGTTGTCATTTCGAGACTTCTTTAGATATGTTCCCATAATTGCCACTCGAAGCTCCAAGCTTTGATATGCTCATTCGAAACACTGCTTCTGCTATTTCGAAACATGACGCTTTGTTTTATTTTGATCGAAACGTTCAATTCACTTGGCTTCTAATAATATTATCAAAATCTCCAGCCAACAGCAGGTATCTCCCACCTCACTCTCAAATTCTGCTCGAAACAAACTATAACGGTCCATTTTGATCAGATACAATCAATGTGAATATGTTTAAATATAAAATATTTGAATTTGTGTTTGTTAGTGTTTCTCTCCGTATTCAAATTTTAAAATATTACGATATTTTCTAAAACAAAGTAGGAGACTTATATATCCATTTATTTATATTTGTTACTCAAATGAATTTCATATAATTTAGTTAATTAATTATATAATTAAATATAAAATTAAAAATAATAATTAATATTATCATTTAATGTAATCATTAAGAAAATAAAATGATAATTAATTTAAATATTTAATAAAATAAACTCAATCAATTTTAAAAAAATTATATAAAAAATGACGATAAATAATTATATAATAAATATATGAAAAAAGTTTAGATAGAATTTTTAAATCTGATTTTTACTATTTTTCAATGAAAATATGATAAATATATTTTAATATCATTTAAAATTTTATATATATATATATATATATATATATATATATATATATATATATATATATATATATATATATATATATATATATATATATATATATATATATATATATATATATAAAAGAAAATTATATATTTATTATATTTTTATTAAAAAATAATAAAAATGATATTGTAAATATATAATGGATCAAATTCAAGAAGTGTGTGGTTTTAAATTAGTGTTGAAATACATTGAATTAATGTTACGGTGATGACTTAAGAAAATTGAATTCTAAAATAAAATTGAATTGTTTAAATGGAAACAATCCATTAGGAGAGACGTGTATAAGAAAATGAAGAAAAGCAGCCTCACGACCAACCAGTACTATTCCGTTATTGCGTTCACATGCGCTCATATATCATCATTACTCTGCTCCATTTCTCATCAACACCATATTTTTTTTAAACAAATAATGCTGATAGATAGATCAGGATGGCTACAACAAAACACTACACAATTATTAATCACTCATAATTCAGTGATGTTAAAGTTTTAAAAAATCATTATTTTACTTATTCTTACAACCTTGTTTTGAAAATTAAATATTTCCTTATTTAATTCATTTGAATATTATGTATTTGACTTGGACATGATACTACATCATCATATGGGTTGAATCAGAGTTTAACAAAAAAAAAAGCTGAGATTCCTATAATCTTATTTAATAAAAAAAAAGTAAGAAGAAGAAATGTATTATATGAGCATGAAAATGATAAAAAGAAGAAGAAATCTACCAATTGAACAAGTAATAACTATGAAAGAATTAATTATAATTTACTTAGCCTTAAGCACAGGATTCAACTGAAGAGGCCTTGGCGGTGCCATTGTTCTTCTCTTCCAAAGATTAATTTCATTCCTTGGCTTAAACTTCAAACAGGGTCTACCACCACCATCATCATCACCATCACCATTACCTCCACCAACCAAAATCGGTGCAGAAAATGGAATCAAGATCTCATCATCTTCTCCATCAGTAAAACAATCTCTCCCATCAATTTCCTCAGGCTCAATCACAGCCTTCCAATTGAAACTCGAAAAAGCTTCACGCCCACTCGCAAATCTCTTCATATCACCCATCGGCGGCGCTTTGTTCCCTCCACCAACAGATCCAGTCTCATCAAATTTCCTTTCCACAAAATTGGATTTCGGTTTCGATCTCTGTGAAAATATCCTCTGAAACTTCGATTTCGATGCATCCTTTGGAGTCGATGCATCACTAGTTTTACTTTTAGGAATATGTTTCTTCTTGTGATGCTTGATCTGCCCCATACATGAAATCTTCGGTGAAGTAGGTTCTTGTGTTACATTAGCACCGCCATCTTTGGGTTTCCTTCTAGCTTCGTAAGGAATCATAGTAACCATAGGTCCAGAGAATCCTTTTCCACCCCCGTTCGATTTTGCACCCCATCTGTTTGTGTTATTGTCTGATCTAAATTTATGGTCCCTTCCAGGACTGAAAGGTGCGTTTTGAAATGTTACTGTTATTGCTTTCAAGAACCTGTTCCTCACCTTACTCTGTTTCTCTTTCTCCATAACAATTCAATTGTTCGATTATAACTTTATGTGTCTGTCTTGTGATATGTATATTTATATTTATATGCTGTGTAGAAACGTGAAAAGGAGGTAAATTCTAGTATTACTGTGATTACGTTAACATGTAGTATTTGGTATTTGACTCTTTCAAAAAAGGTGTGAGAGAAGATTGTGTTGTGAAAAGGGCTATGTTGGTCAAACAAATCGCTGTGAATAACGCACTTTCCTTAACTCAATAAACAAACGTTAACTGTAAAATAATTCGCATTAAATCATGCGGTTTATTATAAAACAAGGTTGCGGTTTATGCAGCCTACGGTCACAAATTGTCCTTTTCTGCTTTGAATTTTGGATGCTGTACAAGCATACCTTTTTAGAATTCTTTGAATGTGAATTTTTTTTTAACACAGATACATACATATTATGTATTTTATGGTCATGTATTTGCTTCCAATTTCGTCACTTCATTGACTTCTATGGTTTTCAAATATGACACGTGGTTCCAAAGAAATTAACCACGAACAGAATTCTTTTTCTGTGAAAAATATTCGCTTTAATATTTAAAGTATCATTTTCTTACCTTCTTCGAATTATTAAAATTAATTAAAATATGTATAAACAAATTCTTTCAACTATTTAGTCATAAAAATAATTAAAGTAAACTGTTTTAAATTATTTTCTCATTTAAGTATTTGGTGTTAAATAGTTTAATGAAAAAATATGAATCAAATTAATTAAACAGTGGTAGTATAAGGGTTGAATTCTATATTTATTCATTCTTTTTATTATTATTAGATTACTCGTCTAAAATCATCTTATCACGATTGAGTATTAAATACTTCAATTGATTATAATTATAAGAAAAAAAAATTAATTTTTAAATTTATTAAATAATTAACATGTTTAATATGACTCTTGACCAAAACACATGTTTAATATGACTAAATATATTAATTTTTTTTACAAATTTAAAAAATAACTTTATTTTATAATAGAAATTAAAAAATATATAGACAACTTTATATCAAGATTCAAATATTGATTTAGCACATAGGAAACAACGATTTCTTTTTTCAAAATCAACCTACTGTTTTTAATTCTATCTGTCTTTTATAATAAATCATAAACATTAAAGAAAATTATTATTGTATGAAAAAATTATATAGATTCTACAAAATTTTCATTATTATATAAAGGATTGAAAAAAGAAAAATAATAAATATTTAAAATGAAATAGAAAAAAATAGTATTAATGATTTATTAAAATTGTATTTATGCTTAAAGTACACCACTGAGAAAACATCCTTTAGCGTGGCTGCGAAAGATTATTCTAAGTTGTAAATGTAAATATTCCTACAAGAAACAATAAAAAATTTAAGAATTTATCATTCATAAGGTCTTTCTATTTCATACAAAAACCATTAACTTCACGTATTCCCATAAATGGGTAGTGGTCTCGTTGAATGTCTAGAGATCAGAGTCATTGTACAGAAAAATAATCGCTTATGTACAACTCCGTTTTCCCGAACAATTTCGTCAATGAGGATTTAAGACCCATCGAATCGCTCAAGGTTAGCAGTGATTACTTGAGGAAAGATCTATTTGGAAATATCTTTGATCCGTTGATGCACAAGGTTAATAAATGAAAGAAATGTAAGAGAGAATATATTTACTGTAATAACGGTTTGAAAGCTTACAAAGGAACGATTGGAAGGTTACAAATGACAGCTATCACTATTCTATTTATACACAAAGTAAATTGTCACGTATGTCCTAACAAAAGTAAATTTAATGACTAAGTTAAAAGGTACAAACTAGGAAATACAAAACTTAACAACTACGCTAACAAACTCAGAACCCAGAACCTCAGAAGCTAAGCATACTTCTGGGCGTAACCTCAGAAGCTTCTGCTTCTGATTAACAACAACTTCTGATTACATAAAACTACTGTTTCTAACTAAGCAATCTCAAAAGCTTACATCTTTTGGCTAACAACCTCAAAAGCTCAACTGCTTTTGAGAAAACCCTGCTTCTGATTCTAACAACTCCTGAATATGAATTACTTCCAACACCATCCCTTAATTCATATTTAACTAACAAAAAAAACTACAACACCAATTTCATCCCTCAAACGGATAAAGTGTTCAGTCTTGACATCCTTCGTCAAAACATCTACAAGTTGCTTCTGGTTGCTACAGTGTGTAACTTCTAATACTCCATTTAGAAGTTTAGATTTCTCCTTGAAAATCCATTTGACGCTGATGGCTTTCTTCTCCTTTGGAAGCTCAGTTAACTTACAAGTCTTGTTTCTTTGTGGTCTCTGGACTTGTTCAGAGTCTCCTTCTAATTCTGTAACAAAATCTTCTTCTGGACTTTCTTCAGGAGTTCAACTACCATCAGAAGCTTCACCTTTGTTAGCTTCTGGACCTTGTCCAGAACTACTACCTTCAAAAATATCACCTTCAAAAGTTGGATCGCCTTCAGAAGCTCTTCCTTCAAAAGTTCCACCTTTAGAATCATGATTTCCACCAGAAACATGATCATCTCTAGAAGCTTGTCCTCCAGAACCTACGTCTTCGACGTTTTCCCTTCTAAAAGCATGATCACCATCAGATTCAAAATTTGGATCAGAATCAGATTCACCATCTGACTCATCTTTAGAGTCTCTAGAAGATTCTTTATCTTCTGAGTCTAGCTCTTCTTCAGAACTTTCAAGTTCTGACTCATCTTTAGAAGCATAATTTTCTTCAGATTTTGTCTCATCTTCTGATTCTTCTTTAGACTCAGAATCACCTTTGGATTCTGACTTGTCTTTAGCTTCAGAGTCATCTTCTAACTCTGACTCGTCTTCAGAAACCTCATATTCTGACTCATCTTCAGAATCTTCAGCGTCATCTTCTGATTTTGACTCATATTCAAACACTCCTTCAGAGTCAGAATATTCAGAATCATCTTCTTCCCCTTCAGAATCAGAAAATAACAACCGCACAGGTTCCTCATCAGATTCATAAGCCATTAATAACGCAGGTTTATCATCTGAATCTCCTCTGCCTATTTTTGCTTCTTCTTTGTTTGACCAACAATCTTTAGCAAAGTGGACAAACCTATTATAACAATAACACGAAACCATTCTCTTGTCATACTTCTCTTTTCCCTTCTGATGTTTATTCTCATCAGAATAGAAGAATTATGACTTCTGGGAAATACCATATATTTTCTGCTTCTGGTCTTTCTTGACAAAAGCTTTCAGAGCCTGCTCAACTTCCCTCTCAGAAGTTCTTTCAGTCAGGCGTAACTCTTGCGCCTCTAGACTGCTTTGCATCTCTTCTATTCTCATGGTTTCCAAATCTTTAGAATGTTCAATTGCTACAATAATGTAATCAAATTGAGGAATAAGTAACCTCAATATCTTCTCAATGATTACTTATTCAGAAAGGGTTTCTCCACAAGCCTTCATCTCATTAATAATCAGAATCACTATAGAGATGTACTCAGAAACCTTCTCATTGTCTTTCATGTTGAGATTCTCATATTACTTTCGTAAGGACTGAAGCTTCATCTTCTTCACTAATGCGTCACCACCGTAACATCTGACCAGTAATATCCCGCGCGCCCTTTGACGTCGTTGAATCTGCAATCTTTTCAAATGCATTCACATCCACACACTGATGGATGCAGAACAACACCTTCTGATCTTTCTTCCTCTAGTCTCTCTGTGTTTCTCTGCTATTCAGTTGCATTTTTTGCAATTGGAACATAACCTTTAGTAACAAGCTCAAAAACATCTTGATCATCGAACAACACGCGCATCCGAATCATCCAACAATTTCAGTTCTTGCCATCGAACACTGGAAGCTTGATACTCAAATTTTAGTTTCCGTTCATCTTCAACCTTGTACAGAACACTCAGATCTCACAAACATATTGTTTCCCAATCCCGTAGAATCAGATGATGTGATTCTGTTCATATTTTTTTCAAGATTCAACATGAATTCAAGAACCAAAATCAATCATACAACGCCTCACCGTTTCACCCGTGTTTCCCGTGAATCCAACCGGAACTCTAGATACAAATTGTTGGTGCAAAAGGTTAATAAATGAAGGAAAGGTAAGAGAGAATATATTTACTGCAATGACGGCTAGAAATCTTACAAAGGAATGATTGAACGGTTACGAATGACAGCTACCACTAGCCTATTTATACACAAAGTAAATTGTCACGTAGACCCTAACAAAAGTAAACTTAATGACTAAGTTAAAAGGTGCAAACTAGGAAATACTAAACTTAACATCTAGACTAACAAAATCAGAACCCAGAACCCCGGAAGCTAAGCATACTTCTGGACGTAACCTCAGAAGCTCATGCTTCTGATTAACAACAACTTTTAATTACATCAAACTACTGCTTCTATTAAGCAATCTCAAAAGCTTACAACTTCTGGCTAACAACTTCAAAAGCTCAACTGCTTCTGAACAAACCTTGCTTCTAATTCTAACAACTCCTGAATATGAATTACTTCCAACATAATCTTCTCTGAGTCCCAGAATCTCAACATAGGCCAATTTAATTTTTTTTTGCGAAATACTTCCTTTCTTACGGTGAACGACCATCATTTATGCAATCTTCCTTTTCATAGTGCCTTTGGAAGAGAGGTTTATCCGAAATACTCCTCTAATTATGACGGTGATATACGGGGATTTACCCTTTTGCCTCCCTCCTTACTTTATCTTCTTGTTTCAACCTCCACATTTTTTGAGGAAGACTTACCTATAGGTAACTCCTCTTTATTCCACTGCTAAAATAAAATAATAAGCATTCTACTACCAATATTATTCAATGATATTAATTTTTTTTATATAAATTAATTTTAAATAAAATTTAAAGAATTTTATTTATAGGCAACCAATATTATAAAATTTTCCAAATAAAATACTAATACAATTAGGGGTGGCAAAACGGACCGGGCCAACCCGTTTGACCCACCATTTTTGACGGACTG